AGTCGAGTATATTTATAGTCAAAAATACTTTCTTGCTTGGGTTCAAATTTAAGGGCCTTACCAAAGTCAAATAATTACACCTTTTAATAAGATTCTGGTGGCTATGGATGGTTTGGTAAGAAATAATAAGTATAGTAGGTAACTATTATAACACTAAAAATACATCGAGCAAACGTAGTAAAGAAGAAGAAGTATAAGAAATAAGAAGTATAAGCAGTTTCTTTGGGGCAAGCTCGAGTAAAAGTAGACTTAACCGAAAATCAAGCAACGGTTCTAGCCTAAGTTTCCAATTCTCTGTTACTAATCTAATGGTCCTGTTAAAGTACTAATTGTGTAGTTGGTATAAAAAACGCCGAGTCGTTCATTCCATATTGTTATTTTTAAAAATCTCAGTTCTAATTCTAAAAAACTTAAGGATTACAAAATATTTTAGTGTACACACTTTTTGAGAATACAGAGGTTTAAAGTTAACAGTTTGTATTAAGTTTGATTATTCTGTAACTGAACAATCTTAAACTATTATTTAACCACGTCGCGTTTACGGTTTAACTGTAACTCAAACAGCATATAATATTTTTACTATGTTTTAAAAATATAAATCTTTTTTTCTGTTGTATGAAAGTGTAGTGTACCGCGATTTACTACAGTTTTCTATAATTCGCCCAATTCATCCGACATAATAAAATGTTAAAATCTCTTTAGTGTTATGATTTGTGACGCTATCAAAAAATAATCCACTTAAGGTTTTTTTTTTATAAAATTATATAACATGTATGTATTAATTTATTAAACTACTATCTAGAACAACCCAGTTTTTTTTATTGAATTTAGGAATATGATTATAAATTTTGCAAGGCTTTTACGCGTTAACTAAAAATTTATTAGTTCATTATTAAGGTCATCAAATTGCAGTTGGACGGTTATAATTTCATAAATTATCTTTTTATTACTTTTGGCCATTAATTATGTCTTTTTGTATAAAAGTGTATATAAAGTCTATTACGCGGGATTTTTTTTTTAAACAAAATAAAATTAATTGTTCAGTGGCCTTTAACCAATTTAAAGTTACAAGTATGCCACTAGGTATAAAAATGTGTACATTTTATTTTAGCATGGATCACCGACACGCAAGTAAATATGTTTAAGAATATAGCCCGCTTTTAACCTACCGGCTATTTTCGGTACATTGATATGTTCATAATAAATGCCGAGTTGGTATTGCGCTATGTATTATGTAATATTATTATTATTATTATTATAACAGAAACTTTATAGTTCAAATCACAGACGGCGGGATAACTGCCAAAGTGACTTTTGTGAGCTGGGCGTGAACAATACTTCATTTCATGTTTAGCTGGCATTTCCAATTATTTGTTTTACGATTCGATTGTACGACCGTCTACACACACACACACATGCGTTATATAGAACACATAGCGCCGTCGAGTACAAAACAAATGTTTGGTTCGTTGCCAAAGAAAACACAAATATACCATTCGGCGACCGTTTCTTCGACGGGCTAAATTATGAGAGACAGACTTATTGTCCTGTAGAATTAATAAGATTTTTAATTTAAACAATTTTGTTTCGATTTGTCAAAACACCAAAGACTTTCAACAATATCGAACCATGGGAAAGTTGGTTCAATTGTGCTTTAAGAAACGCCTGATTTTTTGCTTTTCTTCGCCCTTCTTCCTCGCCTAATCCAACCTACTTCTTTGGGGTGTCAAGTCTTCTTACTCAGAATATGTATTGTTCTTATTCATCCGCCGCTAAAGTATTTGTTTATAAATATACAACACCGGCTAGGTATATTACCTAGTCACATCCCCACTACCTCTACGCATCTCTCTTGTCCGTTTTCATATTTAATTAGAAGAAAGAACATGCCTGAACCGCCAAGAGCAGCTCTATAAATTCTTTATAATATTTCCTGTATAAGTTACTCCGAAATTACTTTTTTAAAAAACCGTTCCCAATGTGTCCAACCGAGTCACTCCACAGATTAGAGATTCTGCTCAAGTACCATATTTATTTTCAAAATTAGCCGGTGGATGGAATAACATAAAGATGATAAAAAAAAATTACTTAATATATTGCACTGGGTTTAAGCATGTTTAATTCTCAAAAAAAAAAAAAAAATGTACACTTGAAAACAACACATATTCGTTATTAAACACTAACATTGGATGTACTATTAATAAATAAATGAATATATATATTTATATATATTCAACGAGTATTCTACACATGTCTCGCCTAAACATTATAAATATATATATATATATTATACGTATGGGTATATAATATTTACAAGTTTATAGGTACAAATACTATGAATTATATTATGTATACAAATTATACACACTACTCGCATACTGCACTATGTATTTTATTATAATACTATAAATATATATATATAAATAAAATAGTTAATAATAATCGAGTCAAGTTCAGACCAAAGTTTCACACCATTTGTTTTTTTTTGTATCTTAAATCGTTAATGTAATAATTTACGTATTTCGAATTTGGATCACACAAAATTTAGACATTTTAGTTGTATACAAAAAAAAAATTAAAACACACATTTTGAACATGTCTCTACATTGTGTCGAGATTACGTTGGTACCTTCACGTACAAGGTAAAACAAATTATAGTAGTATTTGAAAGTACATGTTCAAGAATTTTAACTTCACGCGATATAAACTTTTAACAGCCTATATAGATTTATTATTTTTAAACCTACCCTGAATCTATAATTACGTATATACTTTTTCATTGGATGGGTTTACATTTAAACAAAAGAAAAATGGTCTGTTTTATTATTATTTAGTTGACCTTAAACACGTAGGTATACCTATAATTATATTATATCTAAATTAAATTATTATTATTCATTAATACGTATATAATCGTTTCAAAAAAAAAACACATTATTCAAACAACCCTCTAGTGACATCATAATAAATAGTCTAATCGCTGAACAAACGTCTTATTATCTAAATAAAAGTTTTTAAAAAGCACATGTATATTTTTTTTTTTTTTAATAATCGCCTTTAATTTATTTACCGTTTTATTTTAATTTTTTAACTCATAATATTGTTGTTTAGACAATGACAATGGAGTTTAATACACAAAGTTATATCATACAAATGAAAAACGGAAAAATCATAATAATGGATACAGGAATAAATAAAACATGTTTGTTTGTTTATTGTAATTAAATATATTGTTTGAATTGTAGCGAGATAAGATAATAAAAATAAATTAAATAATACATTAATAATTATTACAAAGCGTTAATATCTATATATGTACATCAAATTTTGGGCAGAATACTTTACTTGGTAAACATAATTATGAAGTCGTCGGCTTTTTACACGATACTACTACAAAATAAACTTAATGATATATTATATTACTGTTAACGCCCTAACAACGAAATAAAAAGGATAAAGGGGCTCAGGGACACATTTTAATTAATATAATTAAACTGAACAATTTTCCCTAGGAATATGAACACAAAATAAAAAAAAATTAAAAATAATAAAGAAGTAGAACTTAACAAGTTTTTTTATTGAAAGGTTAACAACTAAAAAAAAACATATGGATCACAATAAGATAAAAGAACCCACCTGGATGTAAATAAAAAAAAAACAATATGGCTGTTAAAGTTGAACGGATCAAAAAAAAATTCTTTTTTTAAATAAAACATAACTGATTTTTTTTACTAAAACTTGAACAAAACAAAACATAGGACACTCTTGTAAACATTACAGGTTATACGGGTGTCGCATAAGTAGGCGGATATTTGAAGGAAGAAAAGTCTAACCGTTTCTCGATAGGGTTTAAAGATAGTCTCCGCGGTTTAAGACACTTTTCCAGAAAACGTCTCTCAAGTCTAACCCCGTCTAAATGCCCGCCTATGTTCGTATACTAAAATATTTTCCAAGCTAACAAAATAAAAACCGTAGTAATAATTAAATAAAAAATATAATACTTGCGAGTAGGAACATCGGATGTCGATGACAAATTGCTCCAAAAATAAATAGTAATAAAATAAAAACAAAAAATATCACCTACGGAGCAGTAAGTATGGATAGAGAAGAGTTGATTCGTCAAGACGTTACACGCGCACGTTCATGAGCACTTATCATGTCAAAAAAAAAACGGTTTAAGGTATTTAAGCTTACATGCGCGCGAATGAGTGGTTGTTAATAATAATAATAATAATAACTAATAATATCTATACTGTACACGAGGGTAACACGAGTAATACATCATTTGTATTAATACTAAATTGTACATCAATTTTTATGTATATATGTATTTTTATATATACTATAAATGTATGTATTTTGTTTTCAGGCCAAGCAACGCTACATGGAAAACAAAACGAACGAAAATTTTAAAAAAATGATTAAAAGTAGTCTTCTACGATTATAATAGTTATTACGTGTAAAAAAAAATATATATATTTATATTATCATTGTTAATTTATATTCCCCTTTGTTTCGTACGTATATTTGTTGCGTAAAAGATATTTTTGAGTAAGAGAAAAAAAATGAAATTAAAATAATAAAATTGAAATATGTACAGATAAACATCATTTCGAAAAATATACAAATAAGTATAATAAATTAAAAAAATGTGGGTTGTTCCGACACGCTAGAATTTATATAATCAGTCATTTTGAAACTATATATTATTATTTATCCATAATGGATTAAATTAAATATTTAAAAAGAAATGGTGGGCTTTTCGATGCGTTGCGCCGAGAACTGTCTTGCAACATAAAAAAAAAAGAAGGAAAAAAGTAAAGAGGGATATATATATGTATATATGTTATAATGCAAATAAATAATTTATCAAATCGATTAAAAAAAAAAACCTTTTCTGCGTTTGTTAAATATATATATATATATCATATATGTACAAAAAAATATGTCGTATTTAAAACTGTTCGTATCGAATTTATTTAGTATATAGTGTTGTAAAACTTACTTTTCATAATTAAATAACTATGATAATAACATTTTATAATCGTTAATTATTATTACTATAATAATATCAATAAATAAATAAATATATATATATTTATAAGAGTAGATAAATTACGTATATGTTTCGAGCAGAAAGGGAGGAGAGTTGTTTTTTTTTAATTTCAAAATTGTTCATTGTTTTTTTTTATATATATATACACACAACAAAACGCGACGGCCGATGGAGCGCGTGCGGCGCTTTATCTAGTTTTTTAAGTAGATTTTACTGTTTTTTTTCTCTCTCCGATTTAACGGGTTATTTACGTTTTGGCCTTGAGCATGTCTGCCGACCCTTTGTCCAAGCCCATCTGTAGTTTGTGCTGATCGTGCATCTGATGGTGCGACATCTGCTGGTGGACCATTCCTGCGCCGCCGTCCATCTTGGTCTGGTCCTGTTTCTTAGCTTGCTCGATCTCGCGTTCCCGCCGGGCCTGTTCGTTGATCTCTTTGACGGCCCGCAGCTCCTTTTTGAGTTTCATCCGCCGGTTTTGGAACCAAATCTTGATCTGCCTCTCGGTCAGGCACAAGGCGTGCGCTATCTCGATCCTCCGTCTCCTGGTCAGATAGTGGTTGAAGTGGAACTCTTTCTCCAGCTCGAGCGTCTGGAATCTGGTGTACGTCTGCCGACCCCTGCGTCGCGGACAGCCGTTTGGACCTGAGACATAAACACAAAAAATACACAATCGTCAGTAAAACGCAATTATAAAATAATACCTAAAGATGTGTGTAGGGGGGGGGGTATAGATAATAATAATATAACAATCGATAGGCCATGCCTATATTAGCAAAATAAGGGCACGCGCAAGCCGGAATGGGGAAGTCAGCGGTGTACATATATTTTGTAACGTTGCTTGGTGTGGCACAATTTACTACTCAGAAATGTACTCTGGGCGCTACAATAATAATTGCAACATTAAAAATCTAAAATTCAAATAATACAAGAGAGCTCAGATGATGACTGCTCGCTTCACTTCCTCTTCAGATTATTGTACTTGAACTCTATGTGATGTGTTTTTACCCGCACCGTAATTAATACACAACGTTCGGTAGTCTTAATTTGTACATTTTATAGCCATGTTTCCATACAATGAACAGGAAGTTGCACACCGCCAGACCAGCGATAGTCGAACGAGGCCAGATAATAAGCCAATAAGGGGACAAATACACATTACTATGATATCTATGTATGGCCTTTGTATGCTTTTGGTTAAAAATCCATCGGACAACACAATAAACATGATAATCGATCCAAAATAAAACTATTTTAGCCACCGTGCTTAATGTCCCAGGGCTTTATACTGAATTCAATGATATCTCGCATGGAAAACAAATACAGAATAGGTACCTATAGAGAGAATGTCAACTATGAATGACACTATAAAATAGCTATAGCATATATAAATTATTATATTCTTAGATAAACGACGGTAGGTAGGTATCGTTTAATAGCATTATTTTATTAGTGATGAACCGTCTAGTTTAATTAAGCATACAAACATGTCAAAATAAATAATTAAATATATGAGACGAAAGACGCACGCAGATTGCTAGTTAAAAAACATAAACCGAGATAATTTATTCGGAATTTTTTGTTATCGCGTATAAGTAATTTAGCCAATTAATTTTAGTAATTACCTGCCTAACGACGCAAATCAATTATTAGCGTTTAACATTCATGTACACTTAGTTATGATATAATAATAATATTAATTACAGTAGTTAATATTTCCCAAGCTCGTTATTTCCTAACTAAAGTCGTTAAAGTTACAAAAACGACCGCTGCAATTTATTGTTTATTAGTTTTAGAATAAATAAAACATTATGAAACCGGGAACCTATTGTCGTCGGTGGTGTCGTCAATCAGTTTAATAAACCATCAAGTAGAGATAAGACAATTTTTGATACAAACTTTAAGATTTATTAAAAAGAAACCGGCGGCGCGCGTTTGCTCGAATAAACCTAATATTAGTTTTTCTAAATACACAGCGTTTTATTATATGTATAAATCTTAAAAATACTAAATTATAAGTATTAAATATATACGTGTATATTGCTGTGTGGGAAAACGCTGTGTCATACCGACACAGAAAGACAATAATAACGTTTATCCCTTCAAAGTCTTGTCGTAGAGTTCAGTAAACGACATATTATCGTCGTACACATATATGTGGGAGGATTTAGTTGTGAAGGGCAGAGGGGAGGGGAGGCAAAGAGAAGGATACTACGTTGTGATATTACTATCGTAAAAGACAGTGAAATTGAACCGAAAACCCGGTCAGAGAATATTACCAGCACAGCACGTACCTACCTACCGATATCATATTGTACAGGTAGAATAATATTATGTAGGCCTCCGTCAGCTCCACAAGATATAAATAATAATAATCATATTACAACGATGACGACTTACGATAAAACCGCTGCCGTGTAACTACGAGATAAGGTAAGAAGCGACGTTATTAAAAAAAAAAACTAATAACAATAATTTTAGTCGAAATTATTTTTGAAATTAACCGATGCACCTCCCCGTGGTGTATGTGTGCAGCACGCAGAGAAGAGGGCAATGTAATTACACACAGTGTAGGGTAGAATACACCCCATGTGATTGCCTTCAGCGCCGATGGCCGCTGTGAAGACTTACCAGTTACCGTGCACGCGGTTAATGGCGCCAGAGCAAGGGCGGAGACTGCCGCGGCGGTCGCCATGGTTACTTGGCCGCCGTCGCTACTTATAATATAGGGTCCCGTCTCCTATATTCTATCTTGAACAGCGGGCGAAAGGGCGACCACCACCCTGTAGAAGAGAGAACACCGGCAGCCGATCCCTATTTGTAATACACCATAACCGTGTAGTTAATTAGCAGCTAACTTATTTTGGCTTTTGCACACGATTTCAATCACACTTCTAAAAAACTAACCAAATGAAAACTCCAAAAAAGCACGTTCCTTCGTTGATCAACGCTTTCCAGTGAAAAATATATTCGTAGTTTCATCCGCCAACGATAGAATTTATTTTTATTTTTGGTGACTGTCTCCAATAACGACCCAAGATAACGGACCCCCTGTAAAATTAACGACAGGTCAGCGAAAATATTTATGAGAAACTCCCACTAAAGTAAATTCGCGGAAATAACATTTTTATGTTAATCATTAATAATGCAAAACAATATTAGCATAACCCCTACCCCTCCTATGGACAGCATGCAACTAAATTAAGTATATCATAGTGTTGGCTTTGTACAATTTAAGGATAAACATATATTTGCTACAGGGTTATGTGTAGCTGTATAAAAAAAGGAAAAAACAAATGTAATTGTTAAAATAAAAAAATAAATATTTATATTTTTTTAATCTTCTAATTAACTATTTAATACAACAAAAAAAATTGGAGGTGGGGTTCCTATAAAAAAAAACTTTTTTTTGGCCCTACTCATAAAAATAACCTCACCTAGTCATTATGCAACTGTTTTTAAAAATAATGGCAAATGTTGAATTAAAATTGTAATATAGATGATAGATAAATTTAATTACGGTATTTTCAGACATAAATATAATCAACTGAGACATCTTGGTAATTACATATATTATACATTTTTGTAATAGTCGAGGCTGATTGCAAAAATTGATTTAAAACAAATTTTAACACCGTTAGAATAAATTAAAGACAACTCGGTTCCAATATCATTGAATCGGTCGTTAAATTGTACACATTGTAATGTGCATCGAGTGCATGGAAAAAGCATTGAAGAATAAATAAGAAAATATAATTTCGGTAAAACCCACCAAAGAGTCAATCGCGGTATTGAAAAAAAAACCTAAGTCGTTTGTCAAATACGAGATAGGCATCTTGGTGGGTCGGTAGAGTTATTACTTCTGGTCACGAAATACCTTCAATGGCCAACGCAAAAAAAATTAAATATAGTTGGTTTTTAGGACACGTTCTGTTGGGTGTTTACTATTTCTTTTTTTTTTTGGATTTCGGCCGGTAAATACAGATAGAAAAATGTATCTATTATTGTAAGACATAAATCAGACGTATAATTCACCGGTATTTTTTTTTAATCCAGTACACACAAAACGAGATGATCGGCTGACATGGTCAAATAAATAATATCTCATAATAACAATATGGTAATAATATATGTTAGTGCGTTCGTGCCACGTTATTATTACAATAAAAAACAGTAATAATTATTGCGCCTTGACATTTAGACAACATTTTGATAACAAAAATAAATAAATTTCGGCCGCCAAATTATTATAATTTACATTTAAGTATTCAGGCGGAGATTCTTCTTGTGGAAATTCGAGGAGACGACGGGAAAAAATATATATAATATTAGGTTATAACTCAGCAGAGCGCTATCGACCGCGTTCTATCTACACCGAATAGTATGACGTCTTTAAATCATACACAAAAAAAAAACCGACCATGTTTAAAAAATGAAAACCGCCACAGGTCGCACAAGATCATCATTGCGGGACACCGACAACCGGTATCGTCAAGAACAAAAAAATAAGCAGCTACTGTTCAGACAAAAGACCTATCACAGACCCGCAAGTATGTCTGCTGTAGAAGATAAACGCAAATGGACGTCATCAATAACCGAATCGAAAATCAGAGCATTTATTTTGTCTGACGCAGCAATTATTTCAGCTAGAAAAAAAATGTTTATAATACATTCTGAAGAATATCAAAAAATTAGGAATGCTTTGTAAAAACGCGAGTCTGGCCTACTTGAACAACAGCCGCGATTCAGTGTATATAAATCCAATACATCAGCTACGATACTATTAGATAACAGCCAATAACGGTGTCTAGACTACATAAGTCAAAGAAAAAATCATAGTTATAATAACAATAATAATATATTAAAATGAACATAATAGAATTTGGCACATGGAAGAAGAAGCAATTTTTTTTTTTATGATACTTTATCATTGTTACTCCTCTTTCTTCGGTTATTACTTGTATCATCGCACGACCCGTGAATAGATAATATTATTATAGTAAATTATGCAACAACTTGTAATTTGTATTTACAAGACTTCTGACCTACATATGGTCACACAATCGAGTTGTATATTACAATCGTGAATCGTTTTAAACCTATAACGCAATTATTAAAGTGTACCGAGTATATTATATGGCACGAATCCATTGAATTGTCCACATCACATGTTTTTGTTTTATGTAACAACAATCAAAAGAATACAAGGGCCACACAATTTTTTAAAAGACAAATTATTGTGACTTTATAGTGTTGTGCTGATCATCTTCTAATATTATATACAACGGCGGACGAGCACAAATATAAAGAACCGCGACATTATAATATACGATTGCTGTGGCCGAGAGAGCGCATTGGCAGAGGGAAGTGAAACGAGGAAGGGGAAATAACTTGGCAGTCACGTCTGCGGCAGCGGCACAATAATAATAATAATATATTAAAATATATACACACGTGTATACGGTTATTACTTATTCTTATTTTATTCGTACCGCCATACGGGCAATAAGAAGGCGGTAGATGAGGCGAGCAAAGAAAAGGGCGATAAGAGTGAACATATACATACAACACAGAGCACCGACTATTGCGCGTTGGTGTTTTTTCATTCCTTCCACGTTGGGGTTTATTTTTTTTCATTTTCATTT